TCTCTCATTCTCTCTCTCAAATCAATAAATACTTTAAATAAATAAATAAATAAATAAATAAAATTAAGATTATTTTTGGTAAGCATTCTCTAAATGTTAACCATGCTATACTTGTAACTCCATTCAGCAGGGTACTTGGCTCAGTAACTTTGGGGTATATATTTTGCAGCAAATATAGCTTTATAGAGGGGGCTACAGAGATGTTCCATTTACAGGAGAATGGCAGGTACTGAAATGATAAGCTGGATTAAAACAATTTAAAATATTACATAAATTTTTCAAGAATCATCCAGAAGCAAGAGGTTAAGAAATACTCAGAGATCAAAAACTAAGTAGAATATAAAGACCAGCTTTCTCTTTGAAGGCATTTGCCAAACCCCAAACTAGAACATTAGTTTTCAAGGCGGTGAAGTATTAGGGAACACAAATCGAGACTACCAAAAGTAGGGAGTGTAACAGGATTCCCCCCGAGAATAAAGAACTGGAACCCCAAAGAATTATGCCCTCAGATTATCAGTGAGCCTGAAATAAGTCTTGTCCCTTTATTCCTCACAAGGGAAATAACAGGAATCTCCCCAGATAAATGGGGGGAAATGGGAGAATCTCCAACCACAAACCAGGCTTCATGCAATCCAAATTACTACTAACTAAATGGCCTACAAATACTAAAGCTGAAAATTCAGTTTCAAATGTTCACAGGATACTAGCTTTCTGGCAGAAACAAAAGCAAATCCTCTCTGACAGAACAAGCTTTCAACCCCAGCATTAAAGACTTCTATATATAAAAATTTCCAAGTACTATACATAGTCTCATATTAAAACACACATACGGGGACGCCTGGGTGGCTCAGTCGGTTAAGCATCTGCCTTTCGCTCAGGTCATGATCCCAGGGTCCTGGGATCAAGTCCCACATCGGGCTCCCTGCTCAGTGAGGAGCCTGCTTCTCCTTCTGCCTGCTGCTCCCCCTGCTTGTGCTCTCTGACAAATAAATAAAATCTTTTAAAAGATAAATAAATAAGTAAAACACACATATGTGGACAAGATGTGAAACAAAATACCATGAGTAAGAGTCAGCAGAAAAGCAGCATAATCCAACTCTTCTAAGGCAGGGTCCGCCCAGCGGCACTACTGACATTCAGGGCCAGATGATTCTTTGCTGTGGGAGCTATGGAGCTATCTTGTGTATCAACGATGTTTAATAGCATCTCTGGCTTCTACCCACGACATGCCAGGAGCCCTCCCCAAGCTGTAACAACAAAAAAGTGTCCCCAGACATTGTCTAATGTCCCCCAGGAGGCAAAACTGTCCCCAGTTGAGAACCATTGTTCTAGGGTAACCACTAAAATAATAAGCTCTAATTAGATGGAAGAGTGACCACTTACTCCCCCCTCTCAAGCCCCACTAAAAGTACTGAAATATGTTTTAAAAGACTTAAACCACCAAGAACAGGGAGAACACAAGAAGAGAGCAGTCACAAAACTCTGGAACCTGAGAAGCAGACGAACAAGACTAACTTATCTACAAAGAAAGCAGATTCTAAAATGGTGGAGGTAGGCAATGGAGTTGGTGAAGGAAGTGAAATCCAACCACTTTACAGAACAGAATCTTCAAACGGCTCAGGAACTGACTGTATTAGGTCCTCCTGCAACTAGGGGTGAAGGCAGGGGTATTGCAATGAGGACTAAAATTGCCAGAATCCCTTTCCTTCAGGCCTGCTTGCTAGGTGTGCACCCTCCCCTCTTCCCAGCAAAAGTACAGGAATTAATTACCTCTTATGAGGGAAAAACAGTAAGATCCTGATTTGGAAGACAAGAGGCACAACTGGGTCATGGATTCCAACCAGAAAGAGGGGAGACTGAGGGACTATATGCAAAACTAAATGCTGACTACCAAGACCCTGGCAGCCCTTACTTTCCCGGCAGATTTTAAGACTTCTGTGAAGACTGAGTAGTCTAAAAGAAAGACCTACTGGTTCTGACCCTGGAGACTCCTGGCAAGTAGCTGATCCACATCGCCATACACTGAAGTTCAAAATGCCCTCCAATTGTGAGGAAAAAATTATTTCCAACCTAGAATTCTATAATCAGGCAAGCTGTCAATTAAATATAAAAGCAGAATATAAACATTTTCACCTACTAAATCTCAACATTACCTCCTATATGCAACCTTTCTCAAGAAATTATTAGAAAATGTGCTCTAGAGACGAGTAGTGTAAGCAGAGATTCTGATATACAAATATATTTATTAATATGGAAAGCTAAAAAGCATGTTTAAAGTTGCTGTGTGTACTTTAAATTTCCTTATTCTATAATTGAACTCTTTCCCTAATTCTTCCAAATTATTAGATTTTATATATATTATTCATATACAGAACAATGTAATTTGAAATCTTTCTAGATCTACAATTCAAATAATTTTCCCAACACTTTTCTTATTATAGTAACACATGAACAAATTTCTCTCACTACTCTCGACCTCATTCTTGCACACTGAAAGTACAAGTTACCACCAAACCAAAGCTATAAACCACCAACTGAAAAACAGGACAAGAAGAGGAGTCATTAACTACAAAAAGCTTTTATATTCCGCTAAATACAAGATGTGTTACCTGATTTTTCCAGCTCCTACCTGACTGGAGTTCTGTTTTTACAATACATGCTTTCTGTAAGAGCAGAGTGTCCCATGCAGGTGTAGGGGCCTCCGTCTATCAAACAGCAGGATTTAACTCCATTCTATCAATCCTACCCAAGCCTCTCCTGCATGTGTGAAGAGTCCCAAGGAATCTCTCCAGACCTCTGACATGACTGTTTCTCAAAATATAGCTGGCCAAGTTCACTGCACGACCCTCCAAGAGGTGCAGGGAAAGGTGAAACAAAGGTGGGGGGCAAGTAGCATGAACACTTGATAGAGAAAATAATGATTTTAGAGTAAACGGCCATACTTTACAAGATGGCTCATTTATGGGAAAGGAATTACATTATACTTACTTTCCTTACATATAAATAAAAAGTGATCTTGTACCTCTGACTGACAAACACTGAAAAGCATCTCAGTAGCCAAACCAAACCAATACAGAAAAGTGTCTGTTTTAACCAGTTCATAACTTTGTTTTTATTTATGTGGCTAAGTCATATCATGTATTTTCTTTCCTTTTCCTAAAAAATGTCCCTGATTCAGCAATAACAGTAACTGTGTTAGTATCTTCTAGAATGTGAGGGAACCCACTGGCACTAAGCAATTTTAAATGAGTTAATTCAGGAACTAGTAAACACATTATAAGGTTAACTACTGTCTATTAGTTAGACATTAGAAAATAACTAGCATTAATATAACGGAACTGGGAAAGAACATTTAGTAACTTAGAGATTTCAAGTGTTCTACCATTTCAATACCAAGAAACAAACTATTCACTTCTTTGGCCTTGAATAATGAAGAGAGAGAAAGTTTGCTAAGTCACTGGTTGAATTATTCATACCTCTTGGTCTCCTGGACTCTGGAAATCTCCTTTGCTTATGCCTGTATCCCGAGTCCAACGAGGTGGTTTCCAGGTTCTTTCCTGGGTTCCTCTGTTATAGTAGTAACAACGCCCTGAACTATCTTTATGAGTTTCCCATTCTCCATTAATCTGAATTGCTGGGCTCCCAGGAAGTGGGGGAAGAGCAGACTGGGATATTTTCAGTTCTTGTAGATTAGCGTAGACAGGAGAATCTGGACGTCCTTGATTTGGAGGTGTCGCTGCCTGTAAAAAATGTGAAATATTCAGGCTTAAACTGGCATAACATTTACAAATAAAAATGAGATGAAACATGAGACATAGAAAATACATATAAACTTATTTTAAAACATACAAACAGGTGTACATATTCTCTCTAAAGAAAAAACAATTTCACAGTATTAAAATTCATGATTTGGTTGAAGAAAACATAAAAGCTTCAAAGAGAATCCAAAGTGTACTTAATAACTTCCCCTCACCCTGAAAGAATAGTCCACTAGAAGTCAGGAACTGTGGGTTCCGGTTCAAGAACTGGCACTAACAAGTTGCATGATATTGGATTAGATCACCTCATCCTCCCTGAAACTGAATTTTTAAATCTCTGTAAATGAGGGAATCAGATTAAACCACACAGGTCTCCTTTGTCTCTAAAAGTCTATGATTTTAGGCATTTTTTTAAAATACAAAAAGTTTTACATATGAGTAATTCAACATTTATTCAGAAAACTATCAAAAAAGATTTTATGTTCTAAACTCAAGTATTAAATAGGAATATATAAGTGAAAGATAAAGGAGATAAAATACTTCAGCTAAGAATTTCCTACATTCTATTCTTTCTCAGCTAAATTTCTCAATCAATAAATCATTTAATCTCTTCCTAGGTTCCTTATTTGTGAATTTCCTAACAGTGGAAAAATAATGAGTAGTAACTGATTTAAATGCTTAATCTCAATCTACAGCTTTACTTTTTATTTTTAAATGTCTCACTAGATGTCAGTCAAGAGCAGAATATTCTTCATAAACTTTGCATAAGGACATTGTAAACTGTATTAAGTTAGAATTCTGGTAGCTGAAGAAAAAAGCACACGTCTGAGAACACCTTTTTACACTGTGCATTCGTATTTGTGTACATATCTTTCTACAACAGAGTTTCTCAACCTTGGCACCAACAACATTTTGGGTCAGATAATTCTTTACCATGGGGGCTATGTTGTGTGTTTTACGGTGTTTACTGGCATCTCTGGCCTCTACCCACTAGATGATAGAGGCATTTCCATTGTGTCAACTAAAAAGACTCCAGACATCGCCAAATGTCCTCTGGGGACATAACTGACCCTGGCTGAGAACCACTGCTTTACTATATAAATCCTAGAGTTAGATCCAGATGTTTAATTACTTCTATAATGTACCCAAGCGTTTTATAAATGCTTAAAAATACAGAATTTAAAAAGGGAAATGTGGATGGATACACTGAATCAGTTTTATCTGAATCAGTTTTATTAAAGTACTTTAACTCCTAAAATATTATTTGCCTGTAAAATAATCATAATGAGTCTAAACCACAGAATAAGATTTACAAGAGAACACAGTAAAAATAACCCCAAACATGAATACACATGTAAAATTATTACATTCGGTCTTTTTACACATGGTAATTACCCAACTACTGTACTAATGATACAAATTAGACTGTTTTCCTTGAAATGTTAGCTTTGAATTTAGACTACCACCAAACAGCATCTTTTTATGAAGAAAATCTATCTATGAAGACAGATTTCCATGTAGTATTTCTCTTCCAGACTAATTCCATATCCTGGTGAATTAGCCAAGGTAACAATGTTTCTCTGACTACAATGAAGTCTGTTAATATAACAAACAATTCTATATAGCAAATCATTTCTCAGAACCTTACCTAGAGAATATTTATTCAACAAGTGTTAAAAGAAGTTCTTATTTTGCTCCTGATACTTTACTAGACTTGGAGAAATAAAGATGCCAAGAAACAGCCATTTTCTAAAAGCTATTTACGGAAAATTATATTAAATCCTTAAGAAACAACCAATTCCTATTATTTAAACAGTTCAAATTCAAACAGTTTTTTTTTTTTTAAGATTTTATTTATTTATTTGAGAGAGAGAATGAGAGAAAGAGAGAGAGAGCATGAGGGGGTAGGGTCGGAGGGAGAAGCAGACTCCCTGCTGAGCAGGGAGCCCGATGCGGGACTCGATCCTGGGACTCCAGGATCATGACCTGAGCCGAAGGCAGTTGCTTAACCAACTGAGCCACCCAGGTGCCCCAAACAGTTTTTCTAATTTAAAAAACTGAAATGCTTCAACACAGTTTACGAAGCTAGCGTAATTCTGAAACAAAACCAAAGAATTAAATGAAAGAAAATTATAAACCAACCTCCCTTACAAATATAAATGAAAATATACAAAGAAGTCAAACGTTAGCAATCAAATCCAGCACTGCATTAAGTCAATCAGGAAAGAAGTAGAAATATTAATAAATTGTCTTTAGGAACTCTTTTACTATAATTTTTCACATTAACAGATTCACATAATCATCTCCACAGATACCAACAATGCATTTGATAAAATTCAATGTGGATTCAGGATAAAACTCCTAGACTTTTTTTTTTTAAAAAAAGATTTTTGAGAGAGAGCGCATGCGTGTGTGCGCACTAGAGCATGAGCAGAGGGGGCGGGGCAGAGGCAGAGGGAGAAGCAGACTTTCCATTGAGCAGGGAGCCAGATGTGGGACTGGATCCCAGGACCCTGGGACCATCACCTGAGCTGAAGGCAGACACTTAACCAATTGAGCCACCCAGACGCCCCTATTTGACTTTTAGAAATTATTAAAAATAAACATCACAGTTAGCAAGACACTGATAAGCATTTTCATTAAAAGAATAAAACTAGGATGCCAAGTATCACTGCTTTTATTCAACATTGTACTGGAGGTTCTAAGCAATGTACTAGTAAGATATGAAAAATGAATTAAAATTAAACTCAATGAATTAAAATTAAACTCAAATACCTTAGAGGAAAAAAGATACCCTGATATTTGTCAATGACATAACAAATATCTGGAAACTCAAGTCCATAAAAACTAAGAAATTTAGTAAGTTGGCCTGATAAAAGATCATCTAATCAATTTTCCATACATGAGCAAGGGCAAACGGGAAAATGTAACAATAAAAAAACCTATTCACAATAGGAAAAGAATACAAATAAGCTTTAAAAGAAATGTACAAAACCAAATGGGGAACACTTATAAAATCTCCCTCAGGTGCCTAAAATCACACTTGAATAGATAAACCTTTGTTCCTAAATAAAAAACTGAACTTTATAATCATGTTACTTCTGCAAAAATTAATGTATAAATTCTACAAATTCAATGCAATGTCCAGCAAGCAGTATAGTTAGTACACTGCCTAGCAAACAGCAGCACTTAATTAAATTTGTTGAATGAATGAACATGTGAACAAAAGAATGCAAACACATAATGCCCAAGTAAAAGCAAAATTCAAGGAGTAGGAACTGGTTACATGTGATAAAAAGAGAAGAAACTAGGAAAACATCCACATTTCTAGTTTGGGGAAAGGATGGACAGTTGTGTCACCATTTAAGATAGAAACTATTTAAAAATGAATTGGGAGTTCAAGTACTTAGCTAAACACTAAGGTTATAAATATGAATTTAAAAATGTACTGTCTTCTGTACTTCTGAAATAAATAATGCAATATATGTTAAGAAAAAAAAAAGAAGATAGCAGGAGGGGAAGAATGAAGGGGAGTAAGTCGGAGGGGGAGACGAACCACGAGAGATGATGGACTCTGAAAAACAGAGTTCTAGAGGGAAGAGGGGTGGGGGGATGGGTTAGCCTGGTGATGGGTATTAAAGAGGGCACGTTCTGCGTGGAGCACTGGGTGTTATGCACAATGAATCATGGAACACTACATCAAAAAATAATGATGTAATGTATGGTGATTAACGTAACAATAAAAAATTTTAAAAATGTACTGTCTTCTAAGACTTCATACAGCAAAAGAAAAGTGAAACAAAAGATCATTTAAATGTATAATAGACAAGACTCAGAGCTATGTATGGGACATGCTATGGGAGCAAAAAGGAAAAAGACCTGGAAACAAGTGACTGAGTCCTAGAAATGAATAAATAAGAGCCAGGTAAAAGGTGGAGATACAGAGGCAATATGAACAAAAGTTTGGAAAAACAGCATGGTACAGTCCGGGAATGTTGTGACTCCTAGAGTAGGTAAAAGGAGTAGCAAGAGAAAGATCTAAGAAACAGCAAATTACAGAACAAGGAGGTTGAAGACTTTAAGCCAGGAAGTACATTCTGATTTAAAATTTAGAAATATTACAGATTTTAGAGGGACATAACCAGAGGCAGAGGATCAGTTAGGCTGGTACAGACACACAGACAGAATATGAGAGCTGCAATAGGACGAGATAGCAGGAATGGAGCAGCAGGGCCAGATTTAAGAAATAATTAGGTTAAATTAGCATGCAGATTTTGTTTATGTGAAGCATATTTTTTGTTGTGTTTGTGTGTGTTTACAGATCAAATAATGCCAAGATAAAGAGTAACATAAAAAAAGAGAAGCAAAGAGGAGTTCCATTCAGATTGTATTAGGTTGATAAGCCTTTGAAAACTGCTGACAGACTGTTGGATATAAAGACTGGGAGTTCAGTACAGAAATCAGGGCTAAAAATATAAATGTAAGTCGTCATTATTTACATGGGGCCAATAACCTAAGAGAGTATACAGAATGCGAGGAGGAGGAAAACAACTGTTTACAGTTGCAGAAATTAAACTGAGAATATACGTATAAAGTTAGCACAGGGTCTGACATGGTGACCTCTAGTGTTGTCATTATAATTATTATTGCAATTAATATAATTAAAGTACCAAAGTTGGAGGATCTAGTAAAGAAAAAGGGGGGGGGCAGAAAGGAAAGTCAGAAATAGAAGATCTAAATAGGAAAAGGTAGTATTTAAAAATCAGAGAGAAGAAAAATTTAAAAAGACAGGGAATTTGACCATATCATTCCAAAGACTTCAATACAGGGGCTCTGGAACAATCACTAGATTCAGAAATTAAGAAGTCATTAAAGGACTTCACCTTCCAGCCATGAGAATCCAAAATTATCTTCCTGCCATTGACAAGGAGAAAAGTGAATGAAATCTAGGAAACAAGTATATTCAGGCATTGTACAACAAG